CCATGCTATCTGCTAGTCCCGTGTCTTCCTTTTCTTCATGCCATTGGTTTCTGCAGAACTTGGGTCATCTGTCCTTTGAGATGTGTAGGAGACTGGACTTGCTGATTACCCTCTGCTGGTTGCATAAATTCCATGCCCCTTTCCCTCGAGTTTATTCTGCTTCTTTCTATGGGCCATATTTTAGAGAAACTGAATAATTAATGAGGGCAAGTTCTTTAGGGAAGAATCACAGAGATTAATGCAAGACTAGTCTGGAGACCAGAAGATGGTATAATGGTTATGTCACTGGACACTCACATAGTCGGCAGTTGAAGTCCAGACTTGGAGGCTTAAAACTCACATTAGGCACATGTGCATGTGTGCCTAAGACCCCAAGATCCCAAGAGGAGAATGGAGGAGAAGGGATTGCAGCATGGCCATTCCCTTCTTGCTTCTCTCTCTCTCTCTCTGTCTTGCTAGTGTACACATACTATAGCAAAAAAAAAAAAAAAAAAAAAAACAATTCAGGCTAGCCTGTAGTGTGGTAGTTAAGGTGGCTGTGGTTCAAGTTCTGGACCCAGAGGCTTGAAAAACATACTGAGCACGTACGTGTGTGCCCAAAATCCTGAGAGGAGGGAGAGATGGAGGAGAAGGGGTTGTAGCGTGGCCATTCACTATGGGGGGGAGGGGGCTCTCTGCCTATTTCTGGCAAGCCCACACACCTCCTTTGTTTTTTAAAAAAGGAAGAAATTATTACATTTGAAAGTCGCCACTTTCAAAACCCTGGTGAAATAGTCAATGCGGCTGCAGTCCCGGCCGACTGCTGTCATTGGGTAAGTGCTGGAATGGAGAATCAGGCCAGACTCCCAGGCCTGCTCCATCAATCCAGACGTTACAGAAAGGGGGCCCAGGAAGCATCACATGCTCCCATCCTGGCACCTGGGAAGAACGCAGCCAGCACCACCTCTGGTGTTTCATGAAGAATGAGAAAGAATTGAGCCTGAACCTGAATCAAGACTTGAGGCGGCCTTCGTACCAGGTGCGGGCTCACTCACCACTGCTTCTGATTTGCACAGCAACCTGTTGTTTGGGGTTTTTTTCTTATAACTTTTTTTTTTTAATTAAAAAAACTTTTTAAAAGTTTTTTCCCCCCTTTGGCAATCGGATGTATGCATTCACTGGAGAGAGACAGAGAAAGAGAGAAGGGGAGAGAAAGTGAGCACCCTTGGGCGGTGACCATGGTGCAGTCCCTTTTCCTCCATTCTCCTCTTGGAATTTTGGGCGCACACACATGTACCCAGTGTATTTTTCAAGCCACTGGGCCTGGGACTTGACCCGCATAGTCAGCCATGTGGGGTCCAGTGCCCGCCCTTGATTTTCTGTTATCTGTGCTCATTGCTTACTCACAGCCGGCCCAGGGGTTAAAGGAGACAGCGGGGCCGAAGGCGCAGCGCGGGGCTGGGCGGGGCCTGGCCGCCTGGACTCTGGCCCGGGCAGTGGAGGCAGCAGGGCACCTTTGACCCTCCCTGGCTAGGTCCTAAGTCCTGTGGAAGCACAAGGGTCAATCAGACATGGATCCTGCCCCAGGAGCCAGGTTGGCAGTTCTGAGGATGGACAAAGGCCACCTAAAGTCACTTTTCTGAAATAATATATATATATTTTGGAGAGGTTTTCGCTATAGGGCGCATGCGCTCGCCAGACAGACAGAGAGAGACAGAGAGACAGAAAGTGAGAAATCACCCCCCCAGGGGGGATGGTCACGCCGCAATCCCTTCTCCTCCATTCTCCTCTCGGGATCTTGGGCATGCATGCACATGCACCCAGCGTGAGTTTTAAACCACCAGGTCCAGGATGCGAACCGCGGTTGACTACATGGGAGTCCAGCGACATAGCCATTACGCTAACTGCTGGTTCCCTTCTGAAAATATTTTTTAATGAATTGCCAGAAGGTGCATGAGCTTGCCAGGGAGAAACAGACAGAGGTGGGGGAAGGAGAAAGCACCACCCAATGGCACACCCCCCTTTCTGTCTCTGCCTGTCAGGATTTTGAACACCCACCCACATGCACTGGTATGTTTTTCTTTCTCTTCTTCTTCTTTTTTTTTTTTTTTTTTTTTAAAAATTTTTTTTTATCATTTTTTTTAAATTTTGAAAGAATTATTTATTATCATTATTTTTAAATTTTGACCAGAGAGTGACAGAGAGAGAGAGCAAGCTGCTGGAGAGAGCGAGCAAGCCACCAGGTCCGGGACTTGAACTGTGGTAGGCCATGTGGGATTCCAGCACCTTTAACCACCACGCCACCTGCTGCCCCTCCCCACCACATGCATATTTTCAAGCCATGGGTCGGGATTCTAACTGCCATCGGTCATGTGGGATCAGGCTCCCTTAACCATTAGGCTATGAGACCAGTCCTGAAATTTTTGCATTGAGAGCTGGCCAGGCAGACTGGAAAGCTGAGATGCCAGTGTGTGATGAACTCCTGGGATGTGATACCTTCTGCTGGTGCCTCCGAGGGTTCAGGACTTCCTGTCCTAGGACGGAGGTGCCAGGTACAGCATTCCCCAGCTCTGCTCAAGGCCCCGAGATAGCAGCTCATCTGCAGGTCCCTTAACCATAGCAAGCGGCTGCCTGAACTGTCACCACGTGTCCCATGCCTCCTGCTCGGCTTCCCCGTGACCCGTTTCCTGCACCCAGACCTCTGCGCCTTGGGCCTCCCTCTGTGAGCGTCTTCACGCTCTGGTGCTCTGCCGGACTGGACAGAAGCCTCACCCTTCCCAGGCCAGCCGCTCCTCCTCCTGGAGCCCGTCTGCCCCCCAAGCCACACTCTGTGGTCACTGAGCTGGGGCCAGACCCTGTTGGCCACTCAGCCTTGCCTCTGTACTCCACTTAGCCTCCCCAGGGCCAACCAGTTCCACCACCAGGCACCTCCGGCCCACTTCTGCCTCACACCTGCCGCCACACCTTGGGCTTGGCTTCCCAGGCCCGCCTTGCCTCTGGGCCCGAAACCGCTCGGTCTGCTGGGATCGTCCTGCCTCTCCCTCACTCTGCAGCCTTGTGCCTCACCCCTCCTGCACCCATGGCCGGGACCTCAGGCTCCCAGGTTTTCTCCCACCTTCTGTTTTCCAGCCTGGCCTCACTGTCCTTTCAGCCACTCCTGGCAAAAGCTGTCAACTCGCCTCTTACCACCTCTGCCTGCCGGGCCCAGCCTCACCACTTGGTCACACTGACTGTGGCATGCAGGGGGCACGAAGCTCTGTGGATTCGGAACACGGTAATGGGGTCTCTCATCTCACTGGGGACCTCCACACTGCCTGGAAATCTGGCTGACCCCCTCCCAGCTCCACATCGGTTTCAGGCATTCAGCCACCAGGTGGAGCTCCTGGCCCCCTACCCTCCTGTCCCTCCCAGCACACCCCCTTACCTCTCACATCCGGCCAGAACTGGGGCCACAGCAGCAGTCCCGCCCCTGGACTTAGCTGTGCGGGCAGGGGTCATCAGCTCCCTCCCTCCAGCCTCCTTCCTGGGAGCACTTGTGATCATCGCACTTCTCTTCTTTTCTTTCTTTCTTTTTTTTTTTTTAGGTTTTTAGGTTTTTACCAGAGGGTGTGTGCTCTTGCCAGAGAGGGGGAAAGTAAGAAGTCACCCCTAATGGGATGACCATGCCATAATCCCTTCTCCTCCATTCTCCTCTCAAGATTTTGGGCACACACATGTGCCGGCGTGATTTCCAAGCCGCCAGGTGCAGGACTTGAGCCCTGTTTGGCCATGGGGGAATCTAGCGCCTTAGCCACCAAGCCACCTGCTGGCACCGATCAGCACATGTCTAAAACTCATGGCCACATTTAATGACTCATTTTATTCCACAGTATAAATCAAGAGGGGACGATTTCCCCAGGCTTCGAGAAGGAAAGAGTTGGCAGGATGCATAAGGACAGTTCTGTGAAAAGGCCCTAGGCACCCAAGTAAGCCCTAATACCTGAGGAAGCTTAAAGCAGAACTGCCATGGATCCTATTAGATTCTCAGCAGCTCCAGCTACAAACGAGAGCTAGTTCTCCCGGGTTGTCCTGGACACCTGCAGCTGCTCTATGAAAGCTTCGGGGCTACATGACATGTCACAGGCAGCCCAGGCCTCTCGGTGCCAGGTGACCATCAAGCCAAAGAGCAGTCTGTCTGATCAGTCCGATGCCCTGCTACTCTGAAGAGGCCGAGTGATGAGAGTCAGCAGTCTACCCTGGGCCAGGGGGCAGCACAGTGGTAACACCACTGGGCCCACGTGGGAAAGGTCCTGGGTTCGAGTCCTGGAGTCTCCCTGAGAACGCAAGGCCAGACATGTCTGCGATCTGGCTCGGCTGAGATGGGATGCATCTCAGCGTGGAGCCCCTGCTGGCATGCCTGCCTCTGTCTCTCTCTCTCTCTTGTCTCTTTCTCATAGAAGAAATAAGTTAACCCACAGGTCCTGATGCTGCCCTCTCCCCTCCTAGGAGACACACCCCTGCTGGGCCACTCCAGGGCCAACAGAAGCTGCCAGCGCACAGGCAGCCTCATCTTTCAGGCAGGCTTATCTTCCAAGACTGTGGGGCCTGCACAGTCCACAGGTCGGGATTCTGCCCCTGGCTGGTAGATGGCCGAGGCTAGGAGGCAGAGTAGGTGACTATCTCACCAGAGAGCCGCCACCTCAAAACGGTATCATTTGGGGCCAGCAGGTGGCGTGGTAGTTAAGGTGCTGGACTCTCACATGGTTGACCGTCGTTCAAGTCCCAGACCTGGTGGCTTGAAAATCACGCTGGGTGCGTGTGTACCCCAGATCTCAGGAGGAGAATGTAGGAGAAGGGATTGTAGCTATCCTTCCTGGGGTGACTTCTCACTTCCCTCTCAGCCTCTCTGGCGAGCTCGTGGGCCCTGTGACAAAAACAATAGCATCAAGAAAAGACAGGATATTGTCCCGGAACCTCGGAGGTTTTCGCCCGTGCCCAGAGAGCAAACTTGAGTGATGGCGATTTCTTAAAACTTGTCTTAGGGACCCGGCCACAGTGGCACCGGCGACCGTGGAGCCCCGTGGGAGGCCTGGGTGAGGTTCTGGGCGGGCCTGTGATCGTGACTGGCTGGAAGCTGGGGCGGCCGGGCAGGGGCCGTGGGACCATGAGGCCTGGTTGGAGGTGCCTATTTCTCTATCTCCCACTGTCAGGAAGAAAAGAAAGAAACATTAAGCCGCATTTAGAAAACTTTCATTAGGGCCAACTCCAGATATTCCCAAACATTGACAACCCTTTCTGTCACGCATCAGGTCACTGCTGCCTCTTCTGGAAGCCCCAGAGCTCCCCGTCCTTTGGGGCATGCCTTGTCCCCGGAAGGACTGACTCCCTTAGGTTTACTAAGGGGGTTCACTGCCCGTTTGCCAGTGGCGCGGGTCCCAGGTGCCAGGGGTGGAGGGGGCTTTCTTCAGTACAAACGGAAAGCTAGGATGGTGACCGGGGCCCCGCCTCAGTCCTGGGCACTCGGGGCTGACAGGAAGGGTGGAGGAATCCAGGTGGCAAAGGAGGAGGTGGAGGGCTCGCCTTCCTGGAAGTGGCATCTAAGTCTGCCCCAAACTCGGACTCGGCCTGCCCAGGCCCTGGTGGGCACGCACCAGCGTCCGGTGCTCTCAGAGCTCAGGACCGAGAAGCCGAGGGGACAGCGGGAGTCACCTGCTGCACCTCGGCTCTGTCTTTCAGATGGCACGTCGGTGGTGAAGGCCCGGGTGCTGACCTGTGTGGAAGGGATGAATCTGCCCTTGCTGGAGCAGGCCATCCAGGAGCAGAGGCGGTACCAGCAGGGACGGGACGGCGGCTCTTAGGAGGTGGCGGCCCCCAGAGCTGCCAGAGCTGCTGCCGACCCCTGGAGCTGTCAGAGCTGCTGCCGAGGTGTAGGGGCAGCCTTCCTCTGCAGCCGGGTGGGGTTAGGCCAGCCCTGTCCCTAGTTTGGGATTGTCCCAGAAAGGAGAGCCCAGAGAGTGGGTGTCAAAGAGACTGCAAAGAGACCCCCCACAGCTGTGCCTGGGGTGGGCCGCGGAGGGTTCCAGAAGGTCTTCGAGAATAAAGGCCGCAGAGGCCGTGACCTCATGATGTGTGCACGTGGTGCAGCGCCGGCAGGGGCCAGGAGGGGGGGTCTGGAGCAGACACAGCCGGCCCGCAGGAGGCTGCAGCCCACTCCCGGTTTCTGGTGAATTCTGGGCAGAGGGCCTGAGGGAGGGCGCTGGGGGCCCAGGGTATGGGGGTGGGGACCAAGGGTCATGGGTGGGGAGGTCCAGGATGCAGGGCAGCCGCCCCACAGAGACTCTGCCCTCAGAGGAGGCCCAGGGTCGCAAGCAGGCCGGGCCTAGCCCCGGGGCCCCGAGGGTGCGGCCTAGAGCAGGACTGTGGTTTCAGAAGCCCTTCCTGCCCACCCCCCTCCCCGCCCTCTGCCCTGAGCTGTCCCCAGTCCCTAGGTGACCTTTCTGGTCAGCCTTGTGCCCCCCAGATCCTGGGCCTGGCTGGGCTGAGGCGGGGATTTGGCAGAAGTTTGGGCCCTCCTGTACTCTGTAGTTGGGCATCGGTGCAGCAGGCTCCTGCTGGGGGGCGGTGGGCAGGAAGCCTGGGGGTCCTGGCTGGGCTGGGCGAGGGGCAGCCCTTGGCCCCCCACCAGGCTCCCGGGCAGGATGGGCTGCAGGGGTAGGGGCTGGGCTCCCGATGGAGCTGGGCCGGGTGTTATGCAGGGGCTGGAGGGGGCGGGAATGCCCGGCGCCTGTTTCCTGGGCAGCTCGACGGACATGGAGGTCTTCCAGAAGGTGGAGAAGATCGGAGAGGGCACCTACGGGGTGGTGTATAAGGCCAAGAACAAGGAGACTGGGCGGCTTGTGGCCCTCAAGAAGATCAGGCTGGATCTGTGAGTGCTGGGGTGGCCCTGAGAGCCCCCCGCGGGCAGCACATGACCTAGGGGCTCTGCCCCTACTCCCCCACCTCAGATTATGCTCAACTCCTTTTATACTTTGTTTTTAATCTGCCAGCCAAAGAGAGAGACAGAGAGCCGGAGAGAGCGCCCCCAGTGGGGTCTGGTCACACTGCAGTCCCTTCTCTGTATCCCGGTTCTTCCAGGATTTGGAGCCTGTACCCACATGCACCCAGCAGGTTTTAGAATTTGAACTGGGGTCGGCCGCAGGGCACTGAGCCCCCTTTCTTTACTTTTATACTGGGGGGCCACTCCCAGCCCCCGACTCCCCACCTCTAGGCCAGCCCTGGTCCTGGGCCTGCTCCCTGGAGCTCATTGGTGCCAAGTGGGTGCCAAGAAGCACAGGTCCCCGTCAGTAGGGGCAGGCCATCCACATGGTGCGGAACAAGAGGGCACCCCCCGCCAGGAGTGCCTGTCTGGCACCTCCTCCATGTGCGCTGTGGGACCCTCCTTTCCTGCAGGGAGACGGAGGGAGTCCCGAGTACTGCCATCAGGGAGATCTCCCTGCTCAAAGAACTGAAGCACCCCAACATTGTCCGGTGAGTGGGGTGGGGAGGGTACTGGGGCCCGGGCGGCCGGGCCCTGACAGTCTCCCTGCCAGGCTGCTGGACGTGGTGCACAGTGAGAAGAAGCTCTACCTGGTGTTTGAGTTTCTCAGCCAGGACCTGAAGAAGTACATGGACTCCACCCCAGCTTCGGAGCTCCCCCTGCACTTGGTCAAGGTACAGACGGCTGGTGGGGGAGGTGGCGCCGCGCCCGTCAACCCCCCTGCTCAGCTGCACCTCCTCCTGTTCGCGGCCTGCAGAGCTACCTCTCCCAGCTACTGCAGGGGGTGACCTTCTGCCACTCTCACCGTGTCATCCACCGGGACCTGAAGCCCCAGAATCTACTCATCAATGACTTGGGAGCCATCAAGCTGGCTGACTTCGGGCTGGCTCGAGCCTTTGGGGTGCCCCTGCGTACCTACACCCACGAGGTACTCCGGGGCCCGAGGGAGAGGACTGCAGAGGCGATGCTGTCTGTGCCTGAAAGGTGCTGTTTTCCTGTCCCGCAGGTGGTGACGCTGTGGTACCGCGCCCCCGAGATCCTCCTGGGCAGCAAGTTCTATTCGACAGCTGTGGATGTCTGGAGCGTTGGCTGCATCTTTGCAGAGATGGTAGAGACAGGGACCAGCGTGGTCACCGGGGCCATAGGCAAAGGCCCCTAGGGTGGCCGGCCGGGCTTGTCACACTGCTAGTGGTGGGTTGGAGGGTGTTGGGCCTGGGTAGAGGACAGAGAAGGCTAAGTTCTGAGCCCCAGAAGCATCTCAGAGGTCCCTCTCCAGCTCTGACCCACTTATCTGGCATTGGATTCCGTGTGACAGAGCCATGGACCTCCTCCTCATTCCAGGTGACTCGCAAAGCCCTGTTTCCCGGTGACTCTGAGATTGACCAGCTCTTCCGTATCTTTCGCACCCTGGGAACACCCAGTGAGGCTGTCTGGCCGGGAGTCACCCAGCTGCCCGACTATAAGGGCAGCTTCCCCAAGTGGACCAGGAAGGGGCTAGAGGAGATTGTGCCCAGCCTGGAGCCCGAGGGCAGGGACCTCCTCATGGTAGGTTCTGGGGAACAAGGAAAGCCTCCTGGTTCTTGCTGGGGCTCCAGGCCTCCAACTGGGACCTCAGAGGGGCATTCCTCCCCACTCTGACCACACCCTGGCCCCATCCACCTCCCATCCCAGCAGCTCCAGTGTCCCCTCTGTCAGCCAGCCTCCGAGATCTCTGGCCCTTCCTGAGTTAGGGTTGGTCTCTCCCCAACCCTGTCTGTAAGTTGCCTGTTCAACCCAGAAGTCTCTCCTGTGATAAGGGGAGGCTTCTTTATTTTTTTAAATTAAAAAAACAAATTTTTTTTTGGAGAGGTTTTTGCTATAGGGCGCGTGCGCCCAGCGACATAGCCATTATGCCAACTGCTGGTCCCCCATCTTCCCTTTTAAACGGCCTTTCATCTCGTTGGCTCTGGCTTTATGCTGCCATGCTTCCCTCCTCCTTGCTGCCGGTGTTTCTGGTCGTCGTCCCTGTAGGCGTCACTGCCCATCGAATCGGGTGTCCCTGGTAGGGCCACGCTCCTGTGCCTCCCTTTCCCCTGGGAGCCTCCTGCATTCAGTCTTCACACGGGGCTGTTGGGAGAGCCATTCCCTTCTGTCTGGGCCCCACCACCATCCTCACTTACCCTCCTGTTGTGCCACCCTGAGGATGGTGCAAGGGACAGAGAAGCCAGCCTGCCTCAGGCCACAGGCGAAGCCGCCAAGTCCCGAAGCCATGTTTCTCTTTGATCTCGGGGCAGAGGAAGCCAGGGTACTGCTGCCCTAGGGCTGTGCTCCCAGCCTTGCAAAAGTCTGAGTGCGGCCTCCCATCCTCATGCCAGCAGGAGCAGGCACGTGGCCCCAGCTCTGAGCAGTCCGTCCTGGCTGCTCACAGCTTCGAGTCCGAGTCCTTCCACACCCCGCCTGGGTTTAGAGACTTGGGCAGAGAGGGCAGGTCTGGGCTCCCCTAGGGCTTGGTGTTCCTCCCATCCTCCCC